CCAATCCTAGGATCGGGTTTTTGGGTCAAGCCCTTTGGGCCCGAGCTTAATTCCCACCTATCCAAAACTTATAACCGCTGTTCGAACTTCCAACTATTTGACCAAAAATTCTAACCCCAAAACACTATTATAGGTTTAGCAAAAATTCTAACCCCAGTAACACTATAGTTAGTCTTTTTAAGTATGAAGTCACTAAGGGTTGAAAGAAAACAATAATACTATGTATACTAACCAATTTGTACTAATCCAATTATTAACATTGAAAATTTGAAATTCTCAAAAAAAAAAAAAAAAATCAAATTTTCAATGTTAGTACTTGGATTAGTGCACATAGCATTACTCGAAAGAAAATGTCGTAAGAAATAATAAGGGATACAAAAATCATCAATACTTCAAATAAAATCTGTTTTTTAATTAAATTATCTAAGAATATTGATGGTTGAGATTTATTCTTGCTAAATTAGAAGATCTATTCTTATTTAAAATTGTTTATAAGATATATTAAAGATATTTTTTATTAAAACATTCTCTCCAAGGTAAGTTTTATTTTTAGAATAAAATAAAATAAAAATTGCATAAAAAATTGGGCTCTCTCACATATCCCAGGATTCTAATTTTCTAACCACTCCTATCTTATATAAATATCTAAAATAAATCAAACATGCTTAACCTTTTAAAATTTAAATCAAATATTTCTTAAGGGAGCATCCCATGACCCGGTCATTAGGCCTTTGTGTTTTCCCGTGCGGCGGCAAGGGACAATGCTTAAAACCTAGCAGTGGTTCAAGCCGCCATCCACGGCTCGAAACCAATAGCGGCGCACGACTCCGGTAAACACCGGAAGACCCCACGCCGTGGATCAACCAAACCGCAAAAAAAAAAAAAAAAAAAAAAAAAAAGAAGAGAATCTTACTCTGTAGAATATGGAGCCGGGGCCGAAACTCGTCCTGGTTGCCTAAAAAGCGTCGATCGGGAGAGAATGATTCCGGTTTGCGAAGGTTTATCACTCGAAGCGAAAGAAATCTCAGTGGCCTCATCTGAAGATGCCAAGTTTTTATATGGATAGCGAATCGACGGTTACACCCCTTGGAACCGAAACGGCAGTTCCCTCTCTCCCCGCATTAAATGCGCCCCACGTCGCATTAAATGCCGTGAAGAGGGCGTCAACTCAAAACCCACGTCGCATTAAATGCGGCAATAAGGGTTGCCGTTTCAAATATGCCATGCAGTTAATGTTTGTCAAAACGGCATCGGGTCATCATACCGCGCATTTAATGTGTCAGACAAGCGCTGCACCCCAGAACGCCTGACAGCGCAGAACCAGGTCTTGTCCTAAAGGTACAGAAAGGAGCGTCCGTCAAATCCAGGTCGCTAGGATGAAGATTGTCAGGTCGCTTAGGCAAGAATCACGCGAGATCGTGTTCGCTGCGAGCCTTGAGCCGAGCTCACCCCATCCGGTCGGAACGACCAGAACCTTCAGTGTGACTTAGTTTCCAAGGCTCGTTCCACAACCTTAAAAACTAGGGGGCTTCTGTTTGCACGGGAAATAAGGCTACGTGGGAAAGTCACGTCAGGAGTAACCTGCCCCGTCAGGACAATGTGCGCACGTCAGACCTGCAAACGAACATGGAGCTCACACGCGTCCATTTCTCTACAGCAAGTCGTGCAAAGTCAGCTTGGAAAAAGGGAAACGGGACGTGAAGCCGAATCATATCCTGACAGTCACACCAACCCATAGATTTAATGATGATTACACGCTTCAATTTGATATAAAATGAAGAAGATCTCTCCATTAGGGGATTCGGCCATTCATTCAGAAAACAACTCTCTCTCTGTAAAACCAAAACATATTACTTTTATTAACTCTTATGTACGTCAGTCCGCTTCGCGACCTGACCCACACACCAACATCAATACAAATCAGTGGACGTAGGACTTGCTACCTTAGCATCCGAACCACTTTAAAAACCTCTTTTCATTTATTTCACTTGACACATCTATTGTTACGTGCATTAAATTCATCAAATAGTGTCACCCGTGACAATTGGTGGTGCCGAAAACCTGCATCACAAATTATATATTGCTGGGTATACTCAATCAACTATTATGATAATCAATAAATAGAAGTTAGTTACTATCCCAATAAGGTTTGATAGAAAAAACTTTTTTTCTCTCTAATTTTTGGAATAAATTAAAACAATGTTAAAAAAAAAAAAAAAGTAAATGAACCTTCAGTCATTTCATCAATCATTTTACTAGGACTGAAAAAAAAAAACCAAAAATGAACCGAACCGAAAAATCAGATCGAAAAACCGGTTTTAATATTAATGGGCTCGGTTTCGATTTTCAAAAATAATTAAATCGAATTCTAGTTCAGCTAACGATTTAGGATAATATTAAACCGGTTAATCCAAATGGTTTAAAAAAAAAAAAATAAAAATATCCCTTATTTTTTTCCCCCACTTTTTCTTGGTGTTAGGGACGTAGAACTGCAGCCTGCTTCTCTCGTATTTCTTGGGTTTGATTCTCCACACAAGTACTTTTTCTTTCGTCTTCTTTCTCCTTTCACGATTTTCTCTTTCTTCGTCTTCTTTCTCCTTTCACTGCTTTCTCTTTCTTTTTTCAGTTTTTCTTCTCATTTTCGTCTTTTCTCTTCCTCTCCTTCTCCAATTTCTTTTTCTTTTCGTCTTCTTCTCTTGTCTCCTTCTCCACTTTTCCTTTTCTTTTTCTGTCTTCTCTCCTTCACTTTTCTGTTTTTTTTTCTTTTTCGTATCTCCATTTCTTCTCTTTCACGTTTTCTGTTTAGATTTGGATAACAGTCAAGAAGAGAACACCATGATTGACCTTCAGCCTCCTTCTTCTTCTTCTTCGGTTTGGTAAAGCATAATTTTAATTCAATAAAAAAAAAAAAAAACTAGAAAAAAAATGGGTCAAACTGGAGTGTGACCGAATTAGGCCGAAAAAAGCAGCCCATAATTCATAATTGGGCCAAAAAAATGCACCCTATATATAAGCGCTTTAACCGGTTAACCGAACCAAATTTTCGGTTCGGTTCATAACCGGTTTTTAACCGAATCGGGAACGATTTTCGATTCAAGAAAATAATTTAACCGAAACCGTCCGGTTTCAGTTCAATTATTTTCTTGAATCGAAAACCGGTTCGATTCAAGCTTTCGGTAACCGGTTTTTTTCACCCCTAATTTTAACATTTAAGAATTGTAACAATAATAAACGATCAATCATTTGTCCAAAACTAGAGATGGAAAGGCTCGTGCCCAGGTGATTCTGGCTCCGGACTAGGCCTCAATGTCTAGGCCCAAATCATCAGGGACTATCTTGGGCCCATGAGATTTCTCAAGGCTCACCAGTCCTTAGGACCAATCATGGGCCCATAGGATCGGTCTTATGGCCTAGAAAATTTCATTTAGCCCTTCTAATTTTTTATATTTAGTGCTAAATATAAATTATGTAAAGGGGTTTGTGTAATTTTCAAGGGTTGATATGTAAACTTTTTAATTAATTAGTAAATAAACATAATGAATGGTTTTAATGGTTTTAATTTAAAGAGATAATTTAATTTTAGCTTCGCAATGTGAAAATTTAATTTGAACTACAATTAAATGAATATAAATAGATAGTTAATTGTTTATAATTTATATGGTTTTAATTTAAAGAGTAAATTAATTTTAGCATAAATAATTAATAAATGTTTACAATGTGCAAATTTAATTTAACTTGAACAATAAACATTAAATAAAATTTTTTTTATTAATATTAATTTACATCGTCGAAATTTACATCACTCAAATCTATGTTTTTTAGAAGTTGCGTACTTCGAATCTTCAGGGTGGTACTATAGTTTTTTGTCTACATGAGTCCAGTCTTGTAAACATGTAATGACTTTAACCACCTCATGATTAAAGAGTGTCTTCTGTCTTCCATAATGCAACCATTAATTGAGAATGCCTATCGATGCAATTGTGGAAAATGGCACACATAAAATGTCACGTGCCTTGGGTTACAATGGAGAATCGACTTGCATTTGGTTCTACCTTTGAAGCACATCCCCTCACTTTCTCCTTCTTGGTCATGTAGGACATGTCCGTTGGTGGATACCATTGTAGCTCACTTGATCCATGTTTGTACGTGCTGGAGCTTCTACATCCACCAGCACTATTACTAAGTTTCATATACATCCAGATGCTCAATCCCTGTTGATAATGTCTTATCTAGCTTCCTGCTGCTCGTCTTTGATGGGCATTCCATGTACCTATTTTGATACAAGAAAAAAAAACATTCCAATTTTCTGTTAAATTATATCAAATAAGCTATAGTCATATTTTAAATGTTGGCCTATCTCATTACTATACAACTAAATACGTTTAATCTAAATCTAGGATCTACAATAACACCTAATCCATATAAGAATTGAATATCTACTAATATTTCTGGTATTTTGCTTCCATTTCTGAAACAATGTCGCTTAACTCTTCATTATATCTATGTCTAGCAAAAGTTTTACAAATTTGAAGTAAAATTCTAAAGCTAAATTAGTAGTAGGATAATAAATATCACTTAATGTATTAGTGAAATTGTAAAAAACTTTAAGAAATAAAATATTGCAAACTGTCCAATCAAAATCGTTGATGACTTCCGCCTAACTGGGAAGGTCCATATCGGGTCGACAAAGTAATCAGGCCAGGGACCTACCATCTCAAAAGGTTGAACGGTTCCAAAGTACCCCGAGCTTGGAATGCCGAGCACCTCCGGCCGTACTATCAGTAATCCCGAACTCAACTCTCATTATTTTTGTTAATTTCTTTTTTAAGCATTACCTTGTTCGCTTAAAACAGTTCGTATGTGTTCTGTTCGCATGTAAAAATTAGTGAACAGTTGCCTATGTAAATCGCAAATTGTAAATTGTACACACAATATATGAAAAGAGCGAACTGCTAATTGAAAAGATGATTTCATTCATTTACAAACAAAGAGTCCAAAAACCCGATTACAACAAAGACAGTTCATTACGCCTAAGGCTGGTCGGGGAGATCCTTCGAGCCAGAGCCACCCGCCTGGTCGGGTCCCTGGGCGGCCGCGGCAGCCTGGTCGTCCTCTTCGGCCATTATCCGCAAGGTCGCCTGCCAACCCTCCGGGAGGGCGGACATGTCCAAATCCGGGTTCCTTGCTCGCAGGGTGTAGATACACCCTATCGCCCAGTCCGCGGCCTTTTCTTCCAACTCCTCCGACTGATTCTGCATTTCATCAGTTAGAGAAGCGACTCTCGCCCGACTCTCCTGGAGCTCGGCCTCAAGAGCTAGCCTTTCCTGCTCGGAGACCTGCCTATTCTCTTCAGCTCGCTGAGCCCGTGCGAAGGTCGCCTGAAGCTCCTGGTCCTTTTCTCCGACCTCCCTAGAGAGCCTGACGGTTGTCCTCTGAAGTTCTCTGACTTCTTCCGCACGCCGATCGAGCTCCGCCCTCTGGAAGTCCACTGTTCGCTGAGCAGCGTCCTTTTGGTTCAGATACCTATTCGCTGCTTCGAACGCTTGGGTTCTTTCCGCCTCAACGGACTCCAAGTTCTGCTTCAGCTTCGCGACCTCCGCCTCCAGGTCGCTCGTTCCCTTTGCGGCCCCCAGCCGCGTCTTCTCCATGGACATCCTCATCGCAAGCAACCCCTTCGAGCATTATACGAGTTAGAAATAAATCAAAATGGAAATTCAAGTACAGCTGGTTTACCTTGCTCAGATGCTGGAACGAGGTGGCCATCAGGTCGTCGCCCGTGTCTGCAAATTCGCCGTACGACTCCGATAGCTCGCACTCGAGCAGGCCATAAACAATTGGCTGCAGGTACTCGGGCAGACTCCCCAACGAGTCCAAAACAGGCGCGTCCTTCGCCTTGTTGCCAGTCACCGCCTCGTTCGCGGGTTCTTTTCCCGACCTCCTGGATTCTTGGCGCGTCCTCAGAGGCTCCTCCTCGGATTCGGTCTCAGACTCTTCGACCTGGACCTGTTTCCTCTTCTTGGACCTTTGGGTCGGAGCCTTCCGTCTGGGGCGAGCAGGTGCCGGAGCGACCTGTTCTGTCCTGGTCGCTCCTTGCGCAGGACGAGGCTGCGAAGGCGCAGAAGTTCGCAGCGGTTGTGCGGGAATAGCCCGAGCAGCTTCGGCCGCACTCTCCCTCTCTCTCTCTCTCCCTCCTTGATCGAGGGAAAACAAATGGCGCTCGGCGGGACTACCCGGACTCCTTTGGGGGCATGGTCTCTGTATTTAAACTCGTCAGTAACGGAATTTATATCACGACCAGAAAGTTACCAGTATAACCTACCGTCCAGAGGTTCTAACGACGCCTTGTTGGTGAAAAAACCGTACTTCCGCAGGTTCGCGGTCGTCACAAGCTTCCTCGCGTCCCGTTGTTCCTCGTCCAGTACCCCGAAAGATACGAGCCTGTTTGGGTCGGCGAGTAAGTCTTGGCTGGTCGTTCTATTAACTGCATAAGAAAACAGGTCGTTACTAATGATCGTGCGAGCAGATAACAAACCCAGCGAAAGGAAACCTACTTGGATCCTGAAAATGGCGGTGACCGTCATAAAAGAAAAAGAAAAATTTTGTCTCGTAGGCCCCCGCTTTGCTTGGATAGCTGTGTATCCCCGCGACAATCATAGGTCGCCGAGACAAATAGTACGAATCCTTGTCCCTACTCTTCTTCAGGTAGTAGGCGACGCCGAGCTCCACCGCTGACGGCTCTCCCAAGCCGTTCTCGCAACACGCAATGTACATCGCGACGGCGATGATATACGTGTTTGGCGTCAGCTGCATTGGTGCGATCCCGAAATGATCCAGGACCGACCTGATGAAAGGATGGAAGGGAATCCTCCCTCCACCCTTGAAGATCTCCTCAGAGATCGCGGCAAGGCCGTCGGGTGGGCGCCGTGACGGCCTAGTATAGTCAAGGAACACCTCCGCGCAGATATCGAACTGCCGCTTTATTCTAGCATATTCCTCGGAGGTGAGGACCGAGTAGACATCGAGAGCTGCGTCCTCGGGAGCTCCCCGGGAGGACGAGCTGGCTCCTTCCTCGGGCCTTGATGTTGACGGTTCCATTCCAGTCTGCAACATCGACAGACACGGTCATTTGGGCCTTCATGTTTGTCCCGTGCGGTGGCAAGGGACAAATACTTAAAACCTAGTGGTGGTTTAAGCCGCCATCCACGGCTTGAATCCAATAACGGCGTCGCGACTTCGGTCAAACACCGGAAGACCCGACGCCGTGGTTCAACCAAACCAATGCAAAATATAAAAAAAGGGGGAAGAACCTTACTCTGTGGTATACGAAGCTGAGGCCGAAACTCGCTCTGGTTGCTTGAAAAGCGCCGATCGGGAGAAAATAATTCTTGGTTTGCCGATGTTTGTCACTCGAAGCGAAAGAAGTTTCGGTGACCTCATCTGAAAAATACAAAGCTTTTATATGGATTGCGAATCGACGGTTACCACCCCTTGGAACCGAAACGGCAGTTCTCTCTCCCTCCGCATTAAATGCGCCCCCACGTCGCATTAAATGCCGTGAAAAGGGGCGCCATTTCAAACCCACATCGCATTAAATGCAGTAATAAAGGCTGTCGGTTTCAAATGCGTTAAACAGTCAATGCTGTCAAAACGGCATCGGGTCATCATACCACGCATTTAATGTGTCTGACAAGCGCTGTAATGCATGCAGAGCGCCTGATAGCGCAGAGCCAGGTTCATTGGACCTCTAAGGTACAGAAAGGAGCGTCCGTCAGGTCCAGGTCGCTAGGATAAAGATTGTCAGGTCGCTTAGGCAAGGGATCGCGCGAGACCGTGTTCGCTGCTAGTCTTGAGCCGAGCTCACCCCATCCAGGTCGGAGCGACCAAAGACTCCAGTGTGACATAGTTTCCAAGGCTCGTTCCTCAAACCTTAAAAACTAGGGGGCTTTTGTTATACCCGAGAAAATAAAGGGCTGACGTGGGAAAGTCACGTTACGGGTGACCTGCTCCCGTCAGGGCAACACACACACGTCAGTCCTGCAAAATAATATGGAGCTCACACGCGTCCATTCCTCTGCAGCGAGTCGTGCGAAGTCAGCTTGGAAAAAGGAAAATGGGACGTAAAAGCCGGATTACATCCTGACAATCACACCAACCCATGGATTTAATGATGATTACACGCTTCAATTGGATATAAAACGAAGAAGACCCCTCCATTAAGGGGATTCGGCCATTTCTTTACAGAAAACGACTCTCTCTCTTTTGTAAAAGAAAACATTTACTTTTCTTAACCTTTTGTACGTCAGTCCGCCTCGCGACCTGACCCACACAAATTTCAATACAAATCAGTGGACGTAGGACTTGCTACCTTAGCATCCGAACCACTTTAAAAGTCTTCTTTGCATTTATTTCACTTCATGCATCCATCATCGCGTGTGTTAATTCATCAAATAGCAACATCCACGTGAGAATTGGTTGGTGCCAGCAATCAGCATCAACAATATGTATCAATAATGTCTGTATAAAAATTGATGCCATTATTGATATGTTAATACAATAATTATTATAAGTTGATGTTATAAAATGTTTAATTTATTATGAATAATGCAATGTTAATATATCTCAATAACATTAATTGAGATTTATTAGTATCCTAACTTTGTATATATAGTATTATTATATAAAAATAATAATATAATCGTATTATCATCTTAGGATTAATGTGGTATATTACTTGAATAATTATTTCAGTTATAATTTTGTACTCGATTCAAGAAAAACTTGAAGGGAGCTACCAATGGCTTGATATTTTCCAAACTTAAAAGTGTAGCACAAGGTGATATTTTCCAAACTTAAAAGTGTAGCACAAGGTGATATTTTCCAAACTTAAAAGTGTAGCACAAGGTGAAAGTGTAGCACAAGGTGATATTTTCGTATACCTTAAAAAAATTTGAAGTTCTAAATCTTTCTTATAAATATGATTTTCATGATATAAAAGTATTTGATTATCTTACAATTATTTAGGAATGGCAAAGAAGTGGATTAGAGGTCATTTATTTCCTATCCCACTTTAGATTTTTCATATTTTATTGTCCAAATTATTTGAACGAGAGGAGTGAGATTCCCCACATGGGAAGTTTTTTTCTCAACTATAGACGATAAAAATCTAAGGTTGCAGAGCAGACGGATCCTGTGAGAGGTTGAGGCCACTGATGATATGTTAGATCTACACACACAAAGAAGTAAGCGTGAAGCTTACGAGGAACACCGGTGTGGTGTCTGTCGTAGATACTCCGACACTTAAATCAATAAGACTAGACAAGACAATTTAATGAGGGCTAAGGAGAGGAAAGGTTACCAGAGTCTCGTTAGAGACTAGAACTATGGTGAAGGTGCCAGTGGTTCTTGAGAGCAAGAACTTTAGGAGCAAGTAGGTGGTATTAAGATTGAATACCTAACGAGAGGCACGATCTCTATTTATATAGTGAGCCTAAGAGTTTGAATATTAGTAGAACCTTGAGTTCATAATGGCGAAGTTTGAGTAAATAGGAAAGTCCTGACTTACTTGCCTTCGTAGGAGTAAGAGTTCTAATTCATGTAAGATTCCAAATCTTAGAGGAATTAGGATGTAGATAAAATAGGATGTAGATGAATTAGGATATGAATGGAACTCTGGGTTCTTTGGAGTAGCCATGGGCTGATGGGCTTGAGCCTAAGCGAGTTAACGACAAGGCCCAATTTGAGGTATGGCCTTCGTAGTTGAACGATCTAATTTGTGAGTTGCTTGGTTTGTGCAATGGGCTGACTCGTTGTATGGTTCTTAGCGCAAGCCCAATCAGAATTGGGTCATGGCATTAGGTCATGTAGTAGATATTTTGTGTTTAGGCCTAATAAGACCCATTACGATTTTTAGCCCATACATCAACCCCATCTCATTCCTCAATTTATTTGAGAGGGGTGGGGACAAGCGCCTAATAAAATTAACATATATTATACAAAGGTTTACATTAATTAATTAAATTATATAATTTATACTTATGTTTAATAGATATTACTACTATATTTAAAGCAAACAACATATTCCCACAGGAAGGTTTAGCGAAATGGCAACCCATCCCATTCCTCAATTTATCTAAGAAAAGTGGAGGTTTGACCGGCTGTGGTGGTGGTTTGGAATGGGATCATTTGGCCAACTATGGTGGTGGTTTGGGATGGGGTGATTTGGAATGGGCTGTGGTTAGAGATGGCCTATCCTTACCCATATCTTACGGTTGGAATTCCACTTTTTTAAGGGATGGGGACGAGCCTGGGGACGGTTTTAATTTCCAACTCTGAGGACGGGCCAAGCCCGAGGACGACCCCCCTTGTGCCCTGGCCCGCCATATATTGAACAATATAATTTAACTATATTGCCCTTATGAATTATCCCAATTTACATAATTACCCAACATATATAAACCCATTTTTTCCTTGCCTTAATCTTTATCCTAAACTAAACTACAAACTCCTTTCAACTCACAGAAGCCAGCCACCAATCATCGCCGTGCAGCTCTCAACCTCCAGCCACAACCGTTGCTGATTTCAACTCTCAGTCTCCAGCTACCAGCCGTCAATGATTTAACCTCTCGACCTCCAGCCACCAACCGTTGCTGATTTATCCTCTCGGTCTCCAGCCAGTAGCCATCGCTGATTTCAAGGCCTCCGGCTACCAGTTGCTGCAAATTACATCTTTTGGTCTCTATATCGCCATTGCTGTCTCACTGATTTCAGCTAGCGGTCTCCATCTCACCATCGCCATCTCTGAATTCAAGTGAGTGTTCAAATTACTTGATCTTTGCATTAACTATCCTATAATGAAGCAAATAATCTTTATATTCCCATTGTCGAATTGCAAAATCATGAGAATTGCCTCTCTTTAATAGCANGCTTTGTCTTTGGCGTAACCGCCGTCTGTAGGAGATGAGGAGAGTTACTTGTTTGGGAGTGGTTTCTATAGCTTTCTTTAACTCAGATCTCACATCAACCATCCACTGATTCACCACCAAATCCTCCCACAGTTTCATTTCCATCTTCTAGATGATGCATCCATTGTAGAATCTCAATACATCTTTATATGAATACTCACATTAATTCCGTTGTGACTGTGTGATATTGAAATTAATGGTTTGAAAAAGCAACAATGGAAACAGTGGCAATTAACTATAGTTTTACTCGCAACCATAAGTTTCCCAAATCAAAATCTGGTGATCATGAACAAAGTTTCCAACATTCTTGGTTTGACAAATATCTTTACTGGTTGGAATATAGTGTTGAGAATGATGCTACATATTGTTTATGTTATTATCTTTTCAAACCAGATAAAGGTGAGCAAAGTGGCGGTGATTCTTTTGTTCTTGATGGGTTTCGCAATTGGAAGAGACTTGAAAATTTTAAATATCATATTGGAGGTCCTAACAGTTATCATAACCAGGCAGTGAAAAATTGTCAAGCTTTGATGGATCAAAAGCAGCATGTAAGTACAATTATTAATAAGAAATCTGACCAACAGCGAGAAGATTATCGTATTCAGTTGAAAGGATCAATTTCTACTAGTCGGTTTCTTCTTCGGCAAGGATTGCCTTTTCGTGACCATGATGAGTCTGTTTATTTAATGAATCGAGGAAACTTTCTTGAACTTTTACACTATACAGCTAAGCAAAATGAAGAATATAGATTAGTAGAATTAGAGAATGCTCCTGGACATGATAAATTGATTGCTCCTAGTATCCAAAAAGATATAATCAATGCATTTGCAATTGAAACCATCAGCAAACTAATTAGTGATCTTGGAGATGGTTTTTTTTCTATACTAGTTGATGAAGCTTGTGATGGATCCAACAAAGAGCAGATGACAATTATCTTACGTTATGTAAATAAAAGAGGATGTGTTGTTGAGTGTCTATTGAGCATTATGCATGTCACGGATACGATTGCTTTGTCACTAAAGATGGGAATCGAAACATTGTTCTCTAAATATAATTTGAGCATATCAAGATTACGTGGACAAGGCTATGATGGTGTGAGTAATATGCGAGGTCAGTTTAATAGGTTAAAAGCACTTATATTGAAAGATAATGAATATGCCTTCTATGTTCATTGTTTTGCTCACTAACTTCAACTGGCACTTGTAGTTGTGGTAAAAAAGGATACAAATATTGAGAGACTTTTTTTGAAAGTTTCTTATGTGATAAATATTGTTGGATGGTCACCTAGACATAAGGATCTTCTTAATGAGAAACAAGCTTTGAAGGTGAAAAAAGCTATTGAAAGTGGTGAGCTTTCAACAGGGCAAGGTCTTAATCAAGATACTAGTCTTAAGCGGCCAAGGGAAACATGGTGGGGTTCACATTATGGGACTGTATTGAGCTTGATTAATTTGTTTTCATTTGTTATTGAAGTACTTGAGGATCTTACTAAAAATTCTGATAATAGAGTTGAAGCAAGTGATTTGGTGGATTATATGACTTCTTTTGATTTTGCTTTTAACCTGCACATGATGAAAAACATTTTGGGAATCACATTTGAACTTTCACAATCATTGAAAAGGAAGGATCAAGATATTATAAATGCTATGTCTTTGGTTCACTTGTCGAAAAGAAGATTATTGTTGATAAGAAATAATGGATGGGATAATCTACTTGATGAAGTTTCTCATTTTTGCATTGCTCATAATGTAGATGTGCCAAATATGAAAGAGAAATTTGTTGCACGAGGGAGATCACGGCGTAATGTTCAAGAATGACAAATTTATTTCATTATCGTGTTGAGTTGTTCTATGCCATAATAGATTTGCAACTATCAGAGTTTAACAGTCATTTTAATGAAGGTAATACAAAATTACTTATTTGCATGGCCTCCCTAAATCCAAGTGATTGCTTTCAAGCATTTTGCTCAATTTTTTCCACTTGAATTTTCTTCTACTAATCTTATGGCACTTGAACTTCAACTTGATAATTACAGAACTAAATAATATTACCAGTCTTGCTCAGAAAATGGTTGAAAAGAACAAGCATCTTATTTACTCATTGGTATATTTGTTCATCACATTGGACCCGTTGCAACTGCAAGTGTAGAAAGGGCATTTTCTGCTATGAAAATTGTGAAGACTCATTTACACAATCGGATGGGAGATCAATTCTTGAATGATAGTCTAATTCCATATGTTGAGAAAGATATATTTGACAGTGTTGATAAGGAGATGGTCATGCAACGATTCCTCAATATGAAGCCCTGTCGAGGACAATAGTAAATGTAATTTTTTTTTTTTTTTTTTTTTGTGACAATATTGACTGGAAAAACAGAATACGAATGTTATATACAATTAGGTTTTATTTGGCCCACCCTAATAGAAATTTCTGGATCCACCCCTAACTATAAGGAAGTTATAACCTAATAGAGGTGTAGTTACAAAAATTATTGTTTTGACTTAGTTATTCTTAGTGCAAGTGGTATAGAGGTAAAATATGCACTCATTAATAATTAATTAATGGAGCATGTCAAGGTATAGACATTGATAAGAGATTCAAACGTAGTTTTGTGCCAAGAAGCTCTAAACATGCTTGAAAACCTAGAAATATTTTGGCTTCAACAAGAAGGTGTATATGCTAACGAGTTATTACGTACCTACAAATTCAAAAATGTGGTAATAACTCTAAAGTATGAATCATTATCGCAAACAAATTTAGATGAGTATTTTATTTTATCTTAAACTTTTAATATAATATAACATAAATTCTTTGCAATGTATATATAATTATTACTATGTGGAGGTAAGTTCCTTGAGACGAAATCTAGAAAAATAATAACTAGATGATTTCTATTGTATAGAGTATCATTATATAGAAATTCTATTGTATATTGAAAATTACTAGATGAATAAAGACTTAGGATACAAAAGTTAAAGATATAAATTTGAAACCTATATATTATAATTTGAAAATATTTCTTTTCAATATATATATATATATATTAGTTTATCTGTATTTTATTTTACTTATATGTACAGTAAAACTTCTTTATAATGATACTTTATGTAGGAATAACTTCTATATTGTCATAAAAAATTATAGTTCTCACTTGGGATGATTATAAATAAGAATAAACTCCACATTGTAATAAGTTATATTTTTTTCTAATTCTCGTCTTAAGAAAGTTGCCTTCATATAGTAATTATTATATGTATATTGTAAAAATATATATACTATGTTACATTAAAGGTTTAAGATGAAATAAAACATTTATCTAAAGTTCTTTGGGACAATAATTTATGTTTTAAAGTTGTTACTATATCTTTTAACTTGTGAGTACATAATAACTCGCTAATAAAGACACATTCTTGTTGAAGCCAGAACATTTATAGCTTCTAAAAAATGTTTAAAGCTTCTTAGCATGAAACTTTTTGTATTTTTGTACTATTATCCTCATAATTATTTCATTTCTATTCTTGCCTAATTGCAGCAATGACTACTAAAACAATTAATTGAAATCCTAATACATACTATTAAAACGTGAATTATAAAATAAGAAATTAAAACATTAATTTTTATAACTACATCTCTATTAAGTTATAACCTCCTTATGATAATAAATTAGTTTAATCCCACCATTGTGATTATAGAAAGGTTTAAGTGTAGATGCATATTCATATGAATTTGATAATCGGATCAATGTGACATTTAATTGTTTCTATTTTAGGCACCAAAATTTTAAACAGTGATATGAAGATATAAACTTAATTGAGACACGAAGGGACATAATTAATAGTTCAACGAAGCTACAATTTATTAAAGGTGACATATATATCACCATATTTCATACATAAGAAACAGCTTAATCAAAACAAGAAGGAACAACAACGCTGGCTTGAAAAAAGTCTTTGTGCTTCAACATGCAGATCACTGGAGTTCTCAAATGAAGTCAGTCCTTCAATCTTCCTCATAATCAGCTGCCTTGAACTCCCAAGTTGCCTTCACTGCACCTTGAATGGGATGCAGACCCTGAAACATCAAATTTTATATCATTAATTAATCTTCATTTAATTAACAAAATTAAGATGATGAGTTGATACCTCCAGAAATATCTTCAATGCCTCCTCTGGCGTGTTACTATTGATCACTTTCAGGGCTGCTTCCTGTATTAGTCAAACATAAATTTTAATAAAAAATACAAAAACAAAGAAACAATAATATTAAAAATTAATTAATATATATAATTATGCAGACCCTTGCTGAGTCCAGCTCCTTCTCAAACAATGTCTTGGGTTCAGTTTCCAGGGATGATTTCCTCTCTAGTTTTTTTTCAGAAGATGAAGGCTTTTCTTTTTCCATATTCATTCTCCTTTCAAACCAAAAACAAAAAAAAAAAAAACAAAAAAAAAAAAAAAAGATTCAATGGCTTGTTTATTATTGTTTAGGGTTGTTTTGTTTATATAAAAATAAAAGAGAAGAAGAGGATGCATGCATGGTGAGGGAGATGAGGTGTGATGATGCAAAAACGTGGCAGCCATGGTGGGAGAAGACAAGGAAATAGATACAGATGGCAGAAGGATAAAGTGTTGAATGTATAACCGTCGCTTGGCGAGTCAGTAACAGCCAATAATGGGAGCGTTTCTTTGAGAATTTTTCAGAAAAGGTGAGTGGATTTGTGCAGTGGCTGGCAGTACCAATCAGTAAAAGCTATTAGCTTCATGCAAACTGCTTTGATTCTCTCATGAAAATGTAACTCCATAACCATACATCCTTATTACGTCTTTCTATTAGATACACCTGCATATTGGCCATGGCTAATTCAATTAATTTATTGAAAAGAATTGCTGTTTTTAGCATTTAATTTCATCTTTTTAATATCTCTGTATATACAACATTATCATGTATAATGTCTTTAGTTGGGTTTATTTATAGGTCAAAAGATTTTATTTAAAATTTTAGGTTGTTTGGTTGATTAATTTTAAAGGTGCTTATAAGATTTTAAATAAATTATTTTGGGTTTTATTTAAAAATCAGATGCAACATTTACTTGTAATTATAAACTCTGTTTATTGAAATGGGAAATGATAATACATGATAACTATGGTGGTGCTATATATGGTGGAGCACCAACCATTTACAAACTGCACTTAAATATAAAGTAATTTATATAAAAACCAGAGCTTTCTGCTGCATATTAAGCCTCCATCGATCACTTCAAATTCAGTTCCTTCAAGTTCTTCTCAACATTTTCATATCCTTCATCAGGTTTCGAGGTTGATGATGAACTCCCCTTTCCCGCTTCATCTGATATTGCAATTTCAACCTGAAATATAATTTAATTATATCAATCTCTCAGAAAAAAAAATATATATAAATAACAATTATATGTATAAATAACATATTAAACAACGATATTAGTATTTGTCATGGCCTGAAAATACTTACACCCATTAATTTAATGGTGTTCCTTTGTTCTAATGCTTGCATTGCTCCTAGTGCCTGCTTAATCCGCTAAAACATTATATATATTATCAAATGAATGGTATTTAATTAATTAAAAAAACATGGGAAATTAAAAAAAAAAAAAAAAAAAATTAATTACCCTTGCTACATTGATTTGTGCTACTGTAAGATTCTTTGTTTCAGTAGTTTGAACCTGAGAAGGCTGCTGGCTCGCCATTGTTATCTCTCTAATTGCAGTGACTGATTGTCAATGAAGGGTTGTGTTATGAGATATATAAAGTGTCATGGAAGGAGTCGAGACAAAAAATAATTGCCATTTGGCAACCCTCAAAATGTAACGTACTTTGAACAGGTAATTAAAACTTATCTAATTTTGAATATCATACCATCTATATACTTATTCTCTCTTTCATTTATTTGTAAAAGTTTTAATTAAATCTTATATGTGCTATTTCTTGGAATAAAGTGGTTATAGAAATTAAATCACAATAAAACAATATTGTGTGCAAAAAAAAAATATTAATCAATTCATTTACGATAATGAATATTATTATTATTATGATTTATAATGAATATCATTATTATGATTTATGATATCCGACAAAGTATGACAATTTAATTTGTCGTTACATAATAATGAAGATGATAACTTTGTTGAAGTATGAACAAAGTTTCATTATTATGTACGACAAAAATATCCGTTATGATAGAATCTTACTTATAGAATATACGAGGACAGAATGTTTTATTATTATGATATTTTTTCTCGACATAATATGACAAAAGTATTTATTATAAAAATATATATATTTTTATAAGAATGTACTACAACAGAAGTTCGATCGTTATGATAACTGCTTCTTGATATAACACGACAAAAATATTAGTTATGAAAAAAATCCTTTACGAAATATACAAGTGAATTTTCAATCATTATAATGAATTTTTCGAATATAATACAACAAAAAACATTTATTTTGAAAAAAAAAATCTTCTTTATATAATATATGACAACAAAATGTTCAATTATTATGATAAATACTTTTTAACATAATACGACAACAATATTTATTATGACTAAATCTTTTTTAAATAATATACGACAACAGAATGTTCAATTATTATGCTAAATATTTTTTAACATAATGCGACAAAGATATTTATTATGACAAAATCTTCTTTAAATAATATACGACAACAGAATGTTCAATTATTATGATAAATATTTTTTAACATAATACAACAAAGATAATTATTATGAAAAAAAAAATTTATTCTTTAAACAAAAAACATCAATAGAACATTCAATTAT